CTATGTGGACACATGGTCTCATTTCTCTTGGGTATATGCTAATGAGTGGAATTGCTGGGTCATATGATAACTCTATGTTGAATCATTGAAAAGTGCCAGACTGTTTCCAAAGCAGCTGTACCCTTTTACATTCCCACCAGCAAAGTATGACGGTTCTAATTTCTTCACCTTGCCAACATTTACTGCTACCTTTTATTTTACCCATTCTAGATAATGTAGTAGTATCTCATTGTAATTTTGATTTGCATTTTTGATGATTCACGATGTTGAGCATCTTTCATGTGCTAACTGGGCATTTGTCTATCTTCTTTGGAAATTGTATATTCAAATTCCTTTCCCATTTTTTACTGAATTGTCTTTTTATTATTGAGTTGAAAGCATTCTTTATGTGTTGTAGATACAAATCTCTAATCAGATATATGACTTGTAAATATTTTCACCCATCATTATGATTTCTTGATGGTGTCCTTTGAACATAAAAGTTTTTAATTTTGAGGTGCGTGGCTGGCTCAGTTGGTAGAGCATGTGACTCTTCATCTAAGGGCTGTGAGTTCAAGCCCCACATTGGGCATGGAAGCTACTTTAAAGAAGTTTCTAAGTTTGATGAAGTCCCCTTTGTCTATTTTTTTTTTCATTGTTTGTGCTTTTGGTGCCATATCTAAGAATTCTTTGCCAAATCTAAGGTTATAAAGATTTTTCCCTAAGTTTTTTTCTAAGAGTTTTATAGTTTTGGCTCTTACATTTAGGTCTTCGATCCATTTGAATTAATTTTTGTACATGCTGTGGGGTAATAGTCCAACTTCATTCTTTTGCTCATGTGGCTATCTAGTTGTCCCATCCCATTTGTTGAAAAAGATGATTCTTTTCTTATTGAATGGTCTTGGCACCCTTGTTGAAATCAGTTGACTGTATGGATTTATTTTTAAACTCTCAATTCTATTCCGTTGATTTATATGCCTATTTTATGAGAGTACTACACTGCCTTTTACCGTTGTTTTATAGTAAATTTTGCAATTGAGAATTATGAGCCCTCCTACTTTATTCCTTTTTAGGATTATTTTGGTTATTCTAAGTCCTCTGAAATTCCATAGCCATTTTAGAATCAGCTTGCAAATTTCTCCCAAAAAGTCAACTGGAATTCTGATAAGGACTGCATTGGATCTGTAGATGAGTCTGGAGACTATGGTCATATTAATTTTGAACCTTCTGATCCATGAACCTTGGAAGTTTTTCTATTCATTTAGATCATTAAAAATTTCTTTCAACAATGTTTTATAGTTTTCAGAGTATAAGTTTTACATTTTCCTTGTGAAAATTATTCCTAAGTATTTTATTCTTTTTGGTGCTGTTATGAATGCAACTGTTTCCTTAACTTCATTTTCAAATTGTAACACAAGTTTTTAATGTTTATCTCCCAACTAGAGAGTAAGGTCTCTGAAAGGAACCAGTATCTTGTTCAATTTTAAAATTTCACTGATATAAAAAGTGGGCTATAGCACTACCAGTCACTCAAAAACAGTGTAGAAAAAATGAATGAATGAATAAAATAGTAAAACACAACTTAATAACTAAATTTATAAGAAATGCAGATTTTTCTCCCCAATTTGTTGAGAGGGAAATATTTGGATTTAAGAAATCTTGATGTTGAGAGGCACCTCACTGGCTCAGTTGGGACAGCATGCAACTCTTGATTTCAATTTGGGGTTGTGAGTTTGAGCCCCACGTATTTACTTAAAAAAAAAAAGAAATCTTGATGTGAAAAGTCAAAATTTTTTTCTGATTAAGATTTAATTTTTATTTTGCTAAAAGTTTTAATTATTGAAGAGGAATGCTAACTTGAACAGTAGAAAGTTGCTATGGTAACCCTCAGAAAGCTCAAAAGCACAAGTCGCTGACAATGTATGGGGATACACTTTCAATTACACTTCTCTTTCCCCTTGTGCAGGAAGGAATACAGTGCTATATGAGACCATCTTAAAATGCTTAAATAATCACTTAAAATAGTGACTTTTTCTTAAAGGAAAGTATGAACCTTTTCCTATACACTGAAGGAAAGCTCATGAAGGAATCCTCATGAAGGATTCATGTGTCACAAACTTCACATGGTCCTTAACAAAGTCTCCGCTTTAATCCTTATACAGTATGTTTAGATACAGCATCTTAAAATGGTATTTCTTTATCTCCTTGGCAAACTCCAAATTTCAATTATATCTCATATTTCTGTTAATGTAGTTATATGTAGAGTTTGCATAGACCCACGTAATCTCACCAAGTACAGTCTTGGTTTCTGTGATTTGCTTGAACATGCCATTGCAGTTCAGACCTCAGTTGCAAAACAGGGATAATGCTTTACTTGTCCAAAGGCAGAAGCCTAGCACAGATGAACCCCATGTCATTTCTAGCTCTAAGATAAAAGATAGGAGATTCACTAGCTTTGAATGAGTTCTAGAATAAAAACCTGTTACATATTCTAGTATGTGGTTCTGGAATCCATTTTCTGGGTTCAAATCATGGTTTCTCAAGTACTGAACATTCATCTAGTTTCTTAATTTTTGTGTGCCTCAGTTTCCTTATGTGTAAAATGGAGATTGTAACAGTAGTTATATCAAATTTTATAGTTATACAGTTATATAAAAATTTATAAGAACCATTAGATCCTGACTTTAAGTGTTTTATATTTATCAGCTGCTATCACTATTGTTATTATTATGATTTCCTAGAGAAGTAAAGGAAAACAAAACTCAAAACTCTTCTGCTATAAATGTCATTTTAAATTATAGTGTTTAAAAAATTTTTTTTTTATTATTAACATATACTGTATTATTTGTTTCAGGGCACAGGTCTGTGATTCATCAGTCTTTCACAATACACAGTGCTCACCATTGCACATACCCTCACCAATGTCTATCACCCACCCACCCATCCCCTATCCCCCCTTCCCTCATAGTGTTTTAGTATGTACATTAGAAAAAATGATTTCAGTGATTTTGCTTATTTTGATTTTCACATTCCATTCATTGCAGCCAATTTTTTTATTATTTCTAATATATATAATATATATACATATAAAATAATACCATGGAAAAATATATGATGTAATTCTAGTTTCTCTATTGCCTGTACAATAATAATAATAATGATGAAAATTGTCCCAAACTTGCCTCTTGAACAATCTTTTTTAAAAAAATTTCTTTTGAGAGGGCACCTGGGTGGCTCAGTGGGTTGAACGTCTGACTCTTGATTTTGGCTCAGGTCATGGTCTCAGGGTCATGAGACTGAGTCCTGCGTTGGGCTCCGTGCTGAGCATGGAGACTGCTTAGGATTTTCTCTCTCCCACTTCCTCTGTCTCTCACCCTCCACACCCCTCGCCCACTCTCTCTCTCCAGGGAAAAAAATGAAATAAAAAAAGAGAAAATAAAGTTTTTTTTAAAAGTTTTATTTATTAAAGTAATCTCTACACCCAATGTGGGGTTTGAACTCATGATCCTGAGATCAGGAGTTGCATGCTCTTCTGACTGAGCCAGCCAGGCACCCCAGCCTATTGAACATTCTTTTTTTTTTTCTTTAAGATTTTATTTATTTATTTGACAGAGAGAGACACAGCGAGAGAGGGAACACAAGCAGGGGGAGTGGGAGAGGGAGAGGGAGGAGCAGGCTTCCTGCGGAGCAGGGAGCCCAATGTGGGACTCCATTCCAGGACTCCGGGATCATGACCTGAGCCGAAGGCAGACGCTTAACGACTGAGCCACCCAGCCGCCCCCATCTTGAACATTCTTAAGAAAAGGACTTTTTGAGCCGTTGAGGAAAATCTTGCAAAGATCCCTCTTTTTCTATCTGGGGAGGACTGACCTCTTTTCCTGAGAGTGTAGCTTCAGGAGGTTTATACATAGAAACAGCAAGGGAAGAAGGGGAATTGTCCTATTCAGATCAACTTTTTTCCTTCAAAATTTTGAACGCGGAAAAAGATATGTAAAATTTACCATTTTAACCATTTTTAAATGTACAGTTCAGTGATATTAAATACATTCATAATGTTGTGCTACCATCACCACTAACAATTTCCAGACCTGTTTTCATTTTGTAAAACTGAAACTCTGTACCTATTAAATAATAACTTGCCATTCCCTCTTCCCCCCAGACCCTGGCAACCACCATACTACCGTCGGTCTCTATGATTTTTTTTTTTTTTTAAGATTTTATTTATTTATTTGACAGAGAGAGACATAGCGAGAGCAGGAACACAAGCAGGGGGAGTGGGAGAGGGAGAAGCAGGCTTCCCGCAGAGCGGGGAGCCCAATGTGGCACTTGATCCCAGGACCCTGAGATCATGACCTGAGCCTAAGGCAGACGCTTAACGACTGAGCCACCCAGGCGCCTGGTCTCTATGATTTTTAATACGTTAAGTACCTTATGTAAATGGAATCACAGTATTTGTCTTTTTGTGACTGACTTATTTCACTTAGGATAATGGCCTCAAGATTCATCAGTGTTGCTGCGTATGTCAGAACTGCCTTCCTTTTCAAGGTTGAATAATATTCCGTTGCAATATAGGCCACATCTTGCTTATGGATTCATCTGTTAATGGATTCTCAGATTGCTTCCACATTTTAGCTATTATAAATAATGCTGCTAAGAACACAGGTGTACAAATATTTCTTCAAGACCTATGTTCAGATCAGCTTTACGATTAATGAAAAGATATCAGTAAAAGATATCAACCTCATGTCACAATATTATATGTTTACAAGAAATCAAAGAAAAAAATAATAACATTATTAAAGATGGACTTACCATACACTCACTGTATATTAAAACCACAAATACACAACAATTTAACAATCTAAAGTAAAAGACATTTTCCTCTCTGGCATTTCTGAAATCTGTTTTACTTAAATGGCATATGAAAAGAACTTATCAGACTCAGACTCATAAAGCATTTATATATTGCACTTCATTATGTCACACTAGTTAGGAGAAAGAACTTTTGGGACAATTTATACCTGGATAAGATGTGTTGGCATTGTGATGATACAGGCTGAAAGAGAGGTTCGTAGAAGACCACGGAGAACATACAGGAACTTCGTAAGGCTGTGGCTGTTGTCACAGTTTTCTGTACAGCAAATGTCATCTCCCCACAAAGGTGAACCAAGATTCTGGATTCCTATTCTTAAAATGTTTTTCTGTTTTTTCTAGAGAGAAGTGGGAGGGAGGTAAACACATTAGGTTTTGTTAACCAGTAGGATACCTCTTTTACTTCTCTTTGCCAGTTTTTAAATTTATGAAAGATTAGGGAGATAATGTCAGTAGAGGTGGTAAAAACCTTTATGTGTAGTTAGTATAAGGCAATAAAGGAAATCTTCATTATTACAAGAGTGCAAAAAAAACCCAGCTGATTTTTTCTTACTTTTGGAAAATTTGAAGAGTATCAAAAGTCTCAAACTTCTATATTTTAACAGTGACTACTCTAAGGATTATGTTTGAGGCGCCTGAAATAATATATAAAAAATCAGTTAGCAATAAAGAACACCCAAACCAGAATGCTTACAAACCATTCTTAGTATTACAAAATTCTACAAGTCTTTCAATAAACTATAATTTGCTCAATATTTCTCATTTAATGCTCCTGTGTCCAATGCCTGGTACTTTGTTTGAAAGAAGTTTAAAAATGTGTGTTTTGGTTTTACACTCTATATATGCCTTTACTTATTCTTCTTGAAGCTATTTTTACAAAATAATTTAAGTTCATTGCTTTCATAAAATTGAACAAGTAAACATCTAGAAGTTAAGACTACTGATATTAAGGTCACAATAGTGACTAATATTTCCTGGGAAAAGAACATTTAAAAACCATTAAATAAAACCTAGGATGATTATCAATAAGTGTTTGCCAGAGATGTATTTATAACAAATTTTACTGTTTGGGTTATTCTAACTGAACAAATGTTTTATATATGCTTTCCTTAGCAATCTGGCAAAATTTCTGGGCAAAGGAGGAGACATTAGCAAAACCTGGTGCATGGAAATAATTGAAAAATCATTACTACAGTTCCAGTGGGGAAAGTAGGTTTTCTCTCTTAAAGCAAAAGTTTGGAACATGTGTCATTTTTGAGTGTGACTTCTGATGAAGCCAGATCCTGCAATATATCACTTGTTATTGCTATAATAAAACTAATAAAATTTATTTAACTAATATAATTTATTAACCAACCACTATCTCCCTGATATTACAGATGAAAGTTGAGTTTGTGTATTTTTGAGAATTTATTAACAAAGGAAAGTAGAGAAAATGAACAAAACACTGAAATGTTAGAAGAGGAAAAACAAAAGGGGACAATAATTAGTAAAATGGAATTATAAGAAGATATTCACAGTCTGGACTGTGTAACTAAGAAGATGTGGTTTTGGGCAAGACCCTACACTACTTAGGCATTCATTTTCTCATCTCTACAATAAAAAGGATAGAATAGAACATTGTACTATGAGCCCATACAATCCTTCAAATATATAAAGGAACACAATGAGTTGGATAAAGCTATTGAAATGAGATTACAGAAAAAGGAATTTAGTTTAAGCACATTTAAAAAAACCTTCCTGACTCCAAGGACCTGGAACATGATGATACTATTAAGGCAGCTGGTCCAATTTTCTGTTCTGGTCATATTAAGTTTATGAAGGCAATAACCTTAAGATATATGTTATGATCCTCAGCAATCCATAAAAATTGTTTTCTTTTTTAATTTCTGCATTACTTAAATGAAATAAAGGTAATAATATGTACCACGGCATGGGTTAGAAGTTTAAATAAGTTTTTGATGAATTCATGTAAGATATTTGTGAACTGATAGGTTATCCCTTACACTGTATTACTTAGAAACTCAGAATTTAAGAAAATGGCAAGATTAAGTTTCATTTTGTCATTCCTAAACTTGTTTTCTCATGAACTGTAGCTTAAATTAGATTCTCAACAAAAAGAGCGATCTGGAAAAAGGGAGAGAGAAACCTTCCCCCAAAATCTAGGTATTAGAACAAAACCTGAAGGTAGAAGGAGAGCAGCATTATATTGTTTCCCCTGTCAACATTTCAGAAACCAAAGGTCGGCTGTATATTTTAACCCAGTCACCATTACCAACTATTGTATCAAAGAACATCTGCTAAAAGTTTATAAGAAAAATGCTGTTAGGTGCAGAAGCAGGAGAACTACAGAGGTTTAGCGACTTTGACAAATATATTGATATATCTGAAAATAAAATGAAAATGTGAAAATGTTAAGCCAAAGAATGAATGAATAAGGTAGGTACTCAGCACACCAGAACATAATTGAGATAATATTTCAACATAGGGAATACATTTGTATTTTTTAAAAAATGACAGTAATTGCAAAAACAAAGGCTGAATTACAAATTTCCTGTGTCGTTTTGGACATATAATTCCTTTGCTATGCCATATAATAATGGGGCACATCGTGAGGCATAACAAAATTTATAAAATAAACTTTTGTGGAAAGCTGAACAATAAATAGTTAAATTTATTCCTATGAGAACATCTAAAATATTTAATCTGGTATTCTAAGTAAAATCTATGTTCAAATTTCATTTTTATTGCACATTTCTTAGATATTTAAAAAATCATAACTTAAATGAAATATGACAGCAATTTGTAAATATCTCCATTCCAAGTATCTTTACAGATGAGCTACAATACTTTACTTACTACCAAGGTAATTATATAATATATAATACTCAGTTTCTTTTTTTTTTTTTTAAGATTTTATTTATTTATTTGAGAGAGAGAATGAGACAGAGAGAGAGAGCATGAGAGGGAGGAGGGTCAGAGGGAGAAGCAGACACCCTGCAGAGCAGGGAGCCCGATGCGGGACTCGATCCCGGGACTCCAGGATCATGACCTGAGCCGAAGGCAGTCGCTTAACCGACTGAGCCACCCAGGCGCCCCAATACTCAGTTTCTTATAGCTTACTTCAAATAAACTAAATGAGGTTATTTGAAAATATAAGCTTATTTGAAAATGTAATAGAGAAAATAAGATGAAAATTTCCTTTTAAAAAGAAGGATTTGGGGCGCCTCGGTGGCTCAGTCGGTTAAGGGTCTGCCTTCAGATCAGGTCATGATCCGAGGGTCCTGGGGTTGAGCCCCACGTCAGGCTCCCAGCTCAGCAGGGACTCTTGCTTCTCCCTCTCTCTCTGCCTCTCCCCCTGCTTGTGCTCTCTCTGTCTTGTCTGTCTCTCTCAAATGAATAAATAAAAAATCTTTTTTTTTTTTTGAAGGAGGATTTATTTCAGGATCAGAACATTATTTTGACTCAGGAATAATATTTTTTTGAAGTAGTGCTTCACAGATGCATTTTTGTGGCTTCTTGAACTCATCTAAAGTTTCTGAGACAGATGTACAGATGAGGTAATTTAGCAAATGATACATTCTATAATATAACAATATAGAAATATAGTAACAAAAAAACACAACATAAAATTTATGCTTTTGTTCCAATAAAATTGGAATTTTATAACTTACTGGCATTTTGTAAATTTTTTTCAGCATTCTTGGTATTCACCATATAAATATCTACCTCAACTCTGTTTAATCTTTATGTAAGTCAATAGTTGTAGAACCTCTGGTTCAGAGAGACAAACCAGTTCAGTTTGTTGTTTATCAACTTACATGAGATAAAATACTATTTATTGAAAATGGTGGTGTTTTTCATACTCAAATAAATAACCAAGAAAACAAACATTTCATTCCACTCCAATAGTAGCTTACTGATCAAGGGTCCTTTGGACGGATGTGTGTAGATGTGTGTACATATATGTGTGTATATACATATATACACAAGTATGTGTATATCTTTTTGCTATTGCCTTTGCTGTTTTGCATTTTATAAAATTTCCTGCTCTTTGAAGATGTGTCATCATTCTGCAAGAAGAGCAGCTCTGCACACTGTATCATAGGAACTGTTATGACATGCCTGTTTCTATAGTAACCACAGCAAGTGGGGAGAGGTGTCTGTCAGGAACCAATTTACCTCTCCTGACAGGCAATGCCACCAAAGGGCGGACACAGTGCCCATAAATCTTAGCTAGGACCAAAAACAGAGCAACAATGAGCAAGATAAAATTGTAACAAAAACCAAGGCCTATCACAAAAACTGTAACATACATGAAGAGCCATCTATAAATAAATGTGTATGCTTCACCACACACATAAGTATTTTCAACTTGTTATTAAACTGATGATCAAAACAAATTTAAAAATTATCTTGCTGTGGAAAGAAACATTAAATACAGTTTAGTAAAATTTACAAGAATGCTTACAATTTGTGGATTAAGAGCAAATATAGTTGATAATGCCAAAAAAAGACTTTTGGATTCTTTGCTTTCTTCAGTAAAAATACTGGTGCTTTGGAAATAATTCTGCTAAAATAATAATAATAAACTGCAAATCTTTAGCAGCTACAGCAATTAAAATCACTCAGAAAGATTTCTGAAAGGCACGATATCTAGAAATAAAATTTCTCTCATTTTGTTTAAGTTAAACTAACCGGAACATCTTTAATAGTAGGAATTTGGAATTAATAGTGGGAATTTAAAAACTTCTGTTTTTAGACGCTACAGAGAAATAATTAAGTTATAAAATATTTTAAGACAGCAAATAAAAATGCATTTTTTATTCAGTGAAACAAATCAAAGTATGATGTTATAAGAAATAAAATCTTAAAATAATTAATCCTTACTCATAAGGTAATTCAATTAAAGACTGAATGACAAATATAAAAAATTTAGATAAGAAAGTACAAGTCTTGCAGATTTAGGAGTAATTTTCCAAATGTGGCTATTTATTAATTCCAGGTGCTATAAATACATATTTAAAAATAATTTATGTTGACAATGTGTGTATACATCTGTGCATCCACTGAGAACTTAGCTAAAACTTTAAATACACATTAACAATTAAACTACGGCTGCCTGTGCTCTGCTTATTGACATCTTCTGAGTTTGGGAACAGTTTGTTCACTGTTGATGATTCTAAAACCTTCTGGGTTTACCTCTAGAGAGTTTAAAAGCAACATTACATACATGATTATAAAAGGTTTTGAAGGTGCTCAATACCTGGGGATTGGAGCCATCAAATCCTTCCTCATATATGACTTTCTGGATAAACTGAAGCAGCTTTCTGTAGCCATGGGTCAAAGAACTGTTGGTAAGAAGTAGTTCATATACATCAGTGGGCTTATTACACAGGAAATTCAAAATCTAAGCTATAACATTAAGGAAATTTATGAGATTAAATATAACATAAAATGAACCAAAATAGTATAAATAATCTAAAAATATACAGTCAATACACCCAGGGAGTAAGTTACAATGCCTTATATTAACTAGCTCAGTGTTCCAGTGTTCTTGACATCATGGGAAGATAAAAATCTGTGGAGACTGAGATGGCTTAATTATGTCAAGCTTAGTTACCTCCAAGAAAATTAATGATTTAATGAAGCAACCTAAAAGATCATATAGCTTTTCTGGAGTAATCATAGATAATTAACACGTAGTTAATGAACTGCTATGCCAAGTACACCTGAATCAATGTCTCAATCACCTAAGCTCATTTTCCGGAAAAGTTTTTTAATTTTCTTAGAACAAACTGCTAAAATAATAGTAATTAAAAAATTTGATCTTTTAAGGCCTATGAAGACAAGTGAGCATAATTTCCACTTTGTTTTTAAAATGAAAATAATAAAATAAATGTATGAATTCAAGAAGACAAATTATCTCACATGAATATTAGTATTAGTGTTACTATTTTAAAATATTTTACAAAAATAGGGAGCCTGGCAGGTTCAGTTGGTACAGCATGAGACTTGTGATCTTGGGGTCGTGAGTTCAAACCTCACGTTAGGTGGAGAGCTTACTTAAAAATTGTTTTTACAATGTTATGAAACACCTCAAAAAAATTTAGTAACTGTGAAGAACATCTGGCTTAACACTGACTGAATTTAATATTCTTGATAACGCACAACCTGTGTGCTATGGCTGAACATTAACTGTCATGATAATGAGGTTCTGGAGCAAAGCTATTTCATCGATGTTTAAGTGATGAATGCTGTAAAAGCTGTGCGTGTCCTTAAAAATACAAAAGTGTTTGCTTTACTCTGATCCTAAGTAAAGCAATCACATATGCAGAATCAGTGCCCTAAAGAAAAAATGAAATATAATTTGGAACATACACGCAACATTAAAGAACCTAACAAGTTAGGAAAAGCAGCTGACTACTTAATGTGCAAAATCAATGGTAGGTTGTTCAGCCTGTTGCACATCTCTGTAAATGTTTTATTGAACAGCCAGAGCTAGCCCCAAAGCACCTAACAAAAACAAAAAAGAAAATCAAGAGAAAGGAATGCCGTTATGTGCAAAACAAATATTATGACAAATAATATGACTCCAATTGAAGGCTTTGGCAAGTATGGTTATTTCACATATAGTTATTTCTCCATTTTCAATGAGGGATTGGATTATACAGACACATTTTTCCAGTTTAATGAGTGAAGAATTGTGTCTATAAAAAATGATATTCCATAATGGCACTGGTGTGACTCTTTCATAAATATATGAATATATAAATATATATAAATACATAAGTATATATGAATAAATAAATAATGTATTTGTCCCGGCTAGCTCAACTTTCAGAAGACAGTACTGCTGTTTGAATGCAGCATGTTCAATTCCTATCTGGGTCAATTAGGTTTGCACAAGGGGTAAATCTCCTCCGGGGTCCCAGATTATGAAATGAATTTCAGCCAACCATTTGACGAATGTCAGTATGGGTTAAAGGAGGATGGATCAAGAATATATCCAGTTCATTCTAATCCATCAATAATGAATCTACTTAAGACATTATTTCATATAATACAGAAAGTTTCTTAAGCATTTTTCCTTCTGCCCCAAATTGTTCAATAATAACATTTGCCTTAAGTGCCTGGTAGTAAATTTGCTATCTGAGGTACATTACTAGACAACACACACATAAATTACTTCTTAGTTTTTTGTTGCCACCACTCAACCAGTACAATCGGTTATTTATTTTGTATTCTCCCAGTCTGTTAAGGTAGCTATAGTAAAGCTAAGATTCTCTTCAAAGGTGGTGAAAAGGTCTGATATGAGAACAAAAATAAACACATAAAGCCAATACATCTTAGTCTCTTTCCTTATTTAACACTGACATAAAATAATCCAGACACCAGCAACTCTTAGAACTTTACAAGTAATAAACTACCCCAAAGTAATTAGATTTCTAGGACAATAAACACTTTGATAAAAAATTAAATGGGAAAAATTTAGGTATATATATTTAGGTATATAAATTGATAATATTCATTTATGATACATGGGATTATAGCATTTAAAACTGAACTAGTTTATATGCTATTGATATTAAACTACTACTGAGTATTGTTAATCTCCATGAGATACCGTTCCTGCCAGCAATACTTATAAAAATATTTTTTACTGATAAAAATTTTTTCTCTTGTCATCTAAAATTTTAAAAAATTAAACCCCTTTAATTTTGAGGCTATTGCCTTTTTTTTGCTGCTGTTTAGCAGTATAGTAACTTATAAATCAGGAGTTGGCTGAAGGAAATCTAGTTACAAATATGACCCTGTCCTCCTTATTGTTTCCAAGCAATTAACAAAGGTTAGGTTATCAAAGTATTTAAAACATGTCCCAAAGGCAGCACATTTTAAATCATGTGTACTATTCTACCTTGATTTTCTTAATTTTCAACAACTATTATAGTAAAATGATCTAACTTGAGATTCCACAATTTGTCTTTAAAACTATAACAGTACAAAGAATGTAAAAATAATTACTAGAACTTTAATTTTTACCTTTAAAATATCGAGTATTTAAAATTTTTTTCAGTCAAAAAAAATTGTTCCATGTCTGCTTATATCACCATGTCTTCTGACAGTAATTTATTTCTTTACATTAATATTAAATATGGGCAAAAGGGGTCCAATGACACAAAGTGTAAATCTCTCTCTCTATTTTTTTAAGTAGGCTCCACACCCAACGTGAAGCCCAGCACAGGGCTTAGACTCATGACCCTGGGATCAAGATCTGAGCTGAGATCAAGAGTAAGATGCTTAACTGACTGAACTACCCAGGTGCCCCTAATCTATATTCTGATGACCAAATTCAACATTTTTTAAAAACTGACAGAAAGAAATGAGACTTTTGTACCTATCAGTATCTCCCCCATCCAATTTTCAGCAGGTGGTCTGATAGACATTTACATCAGAGAACTTCAGTTTCTATCAACAAATGGCATTGGTTTTTCTGTGAAAAGTAATTTTGTCAGTCTCATTAAGAAAGATAAAAAAAAAGGGGGGGGCACCTTGGTGGTTCAGTCCATTGAGCTTTGGACTCTTGATTTCGGCTCAGGTCATGATCTTAGGGGATCGAGCCCCAAGTTGGGCTTTGTGTCCTTCTCTCTTTGCTCCTCCCCATGCTCATGCTCTTTCTCAAATAAATAAATAAATCTTAAAAAAAAAAAAGATAAAAAAAATCTGCTGTAGTATATCTAGGTATAGATATAGATGCAGTATATCTAGAAAATAACTCAGGCAGATAATAAATACCAGTTAATTGCCTTGTAGTTTCTCAAACATTGAACAAAGGAATACTTACCGAAGTCTGAATATGATCAAAGAATAAATTTAAATGGAACAACAACAAAAAAGCTTGGGTAAAAAAGACGAGATTTTTTTTTTTTAAGATTTTATTTATTTATTTGAGAGAGAGAGAGAGAGAAATAGCATGAGAGGGGATAGGGTCAGAGGGAGAAGCAGGCTCCCTGCCGAGCCAGGAGCCCGATGTGGGACTCGATCCCAGGACTCCGGGATCATGACCTGAGCCGAAGGCAGTTGCTTAACCAACTGAGCCACCCAGGCGCCCCCAAAAGACGAGATTTTATTTGTGAAAATATAAATTACAAAGAATATTATATATATGTTGATAAATGAAACGTTTACACATAGATAAGAAACTCTTGGGTATTTCTTTGTATCAAAACTACTTGATTTTAATTTTATCTACTGGTAAAGTGTCTGACATAGTAAATACTCAAAAAAGGTTTTGTATCTCTGTCACATTTGATCATTACAATAGCCTTGTCAGGTAAATAGAGTCATTAGATCCATTTTATGGTAGAGCAAATTAAGACCCTTTGGAAACTTAAGTGATTTGTTCAAGGCTGTACAACAATTAAGTGACAGACGAGGCACCTAAAAAGTTTTCTAAAACTTCAACTTATCTGCTCTTTTAGTTAAACTAATATAAAGCCTCAGAGTGAGATCCAGATTCAATGAGAAGTCTGTGGGTTCAAATACACTAATGTGGCTGTGATGAGCTTTGAACGTGACTCCATTTAACACAAAGTAACCAGGTGTATAGTTTCAGGAAGATATATTTTTTTTAGTCGCTCCTATGAGACCTTCACAAATAGGCCTCACTTGTATTAACTGGTACATGACATATAAAGACAATTCAAGATGGAAAAAAATGTAGATATACAATATATAAATGAGATACCAGCATAACACAGTGGAAAATATGCTTTGAGATCTGGGATCCTGGTCTATCCACATCAGCAACTATAGCTAAATGTGTGATAATGAGGCAAAGTATTCAATTTTTCTGTTCTGGGGCTCAAAATTTTCTCATGTAACAGAGTTGCACTAATAATCTCTCTTGTCCTTTCTGACTTAAAATTACATGGCTCAAAAATGACTTTTCCTTTTTAAGACTGATTTCTCTCACTAAAATGATTAATTGCTGGGTTTTTGAAAATAATTTCTGGTGCATTTTAATATTGATTTAACTACTTGATAGAAATACTTAGGAAGAAAAACTGTTATCACTCCCAATTAGGATTAATTTAAAGTGAAGATGAAGCATTTTTGATATTATTATGCAAATCATTGAGAAAATATGATTTGTATTACCAAAATTCTATTTACACATATATTTCAAGTATTCATTTATGACAAATAGTGAGATATACTTACAGGGCAGTAGGCACAATATCAAATGTCTCAACTAATTGTGTAAAATGGTTTGCTGAGCTAAAGTTATATTAGCATATAATTTGCATGTGACTATGAAGACTGTGAAGTCTATTCACAAGTAATTTTC